AAATGCCAGATATAAGTGAAGTGGAGGAAGGCAGCAAATCACACTGCCATGTGTGTTCCTATGCAACTATCTTGCATGTTCTTCAAATGTACCCCCAAACCTAAAATGCAATAAAAGATATTTAAAAATCAGAAAAAAATTATTTTGGGACCACAAGTGTAATCATCACGTCCTCAAAACACACAAAAAGCATAAAGCTTCCTAATTGTTCACATTGGAAAAGAAAAGTTGATTGAGAAGAGACTTAGATTTGCTATCTTACAAAGAATTGACCAGCTAGGAAAGCGTTTTTAACCAAGGAAAATTCTGCAGGGTTATAACACAAATGAAAATCAAATCAACAGCCCAGAAAGAGAGAAACATAAAAAAAGGCCATCTTCAAGTCTGTTCTGTGTCACTTTGACCGTTTTGTCATGTATACACAAAACATGCTTAATATTATTTTTCTGAAGGACAGCTGGGTCAGCATGTAAGTCCCGAAGTAGAGGCAGTACCCTCTGTGTCCAGTTGCTTGACACACTATTCTTGAAAGGTTGCATAGACAGAGCTTTTAGTTAACAGCTTTATGAAACGGCTACAAATCCAGTGGTGCAGAAGTTTTGAATTTCTGAAGAGCAGAAACGATCTCATTTAATAGTCACGGAATGATATCAAGATGAGGATGATAATGAAAGAGCCTAGAAATAAAAATAAGTTAAGATTTTGTTATATAAATCCTGAACAGTGCTCACTAGCTCATGACTGTAAAGGACAGCCACTTTGTGGTGTGGGTTGACAAGAAACACGAAAGCTGAAGTTTTCTGAGATGCTTGCTTTCTCCATTAGAATTAGCTCTCTAAGACTGCTGTACAATTTCTTCCATTTTCCATCATTTAGTCAATAATATTTGGAATACTGTTAAAAGTTTACCAGTTTTTTAGACTGCTAAAAGAGAAGTTGTGTGGAAAAATAATTGTAAACGTTAATTAAAATTTCACTAGCTATTGGCTTATGGAAATGCCACAGCTAGATGACATGTAACACATTTTTCATGAGTCTTACGTATCATATCATCTAGTCAAGCTCCATTAAAAGTGTTAGCCTTTCCGGTTAACACTTCCAGGAATCTTTAAAACCACAGAGTATATGAAAATGCCCCGCACAACTTTCAGATCATTACCACAGAAGCATTAAGTAACCTACACACACAAGGGTTTTATAAGTTATGTAAAGTGGCAGAGAACTATGAAAATATTCTAAAAACATGCAGATTTACAATGTAATTACTGTACCTTCTTTGGGGGTATTATCAGTAAGCAAAAATGCTAATAAACATCAGTTTCACACAGAAAAATTAACATCAAGTATGAGGAAGGCTACATACATTTTTCATTATGCAGTGTGTATTGCACCTGTGGAAAATTTAAGTATCTTCTTAAAACGTATTTTTCAGTTAGCAAAGTGAAAGATCATTGTTTTAAACCCCCCTAAGTGTACTCACGTATCGTTCACTTCCCAGTTTAAACCGATCATAGACTTGGATTAGGTCCTCCGTTTTGTACTGTTCTAGCACCACAAAATTTTCCAAACTTCTGCTTGTTTTTCGTGCACAATCTTGGCAATGTACTATGTAGGTTTTTTGAGTATTGCTTTCAATAGTGACCAAAAGCAGATTGAAAACCTCCACCTATATTACATAAATAAATACATACATACATACATACATACATGCATGCATACATACATACATACATACATAGTAGTGGACAGTGGTATCTGAATTTACTTTAGCACTATAACGATGGGAAATCTACTTCACGTGGAACTGGATGGTGATTTTTGGTTAAATGTAAGTACTTAAGAAAACAAAACAAGACTATGGTTGTGGGTTTGAGACACCAACGTTTCTTTTGTAGCACATCCAGAGAAAGAATTATGTGGTATGTTCAGACATTGTCACGAAAGCTCAATTCAAGGTTAGATGAACATCAGTATAATTTTATTTTACCCAAAATACCCGTGTACCACCAGACAAAAGTGACCGTAATTTGTTTTTCACTTTTTTGTGAGACTATTCACAGAACCTGTTCTGTGTCAGGTTTGTGTTCCCCCAGTGACTGAGCTCCACAACGACTACGTTTCATTTTTTGGATGTCTGGAGCACTTCATTGTGCTTAATTTTCAGCAAAGCTAAAACTGTAATTTAAAAAACCTTGGAATATGCCCATAATCCGATTTTTTCAAGGGAAGAAAACTGAATAACAAAAAGGGTTGTTTTAAGTCTCATATTAAAAAGTATAAAAGTGTATTCGTTAACACGCGCGTAACAGGAGAAAGAAATGTACATCTTATCGACAAAGACGCGTTGCAAAAGCTCAGCAAGAGTAATAGACAATATTGAGGAATACAACGGTTGTTTTGAAGTTCCAGAGAGAGAGATAGATTCACTTTTCGGAAGGCAAACACCTAACTGAAATCTACTTGAGCTCACAATAATATACTTCGGTGAGTTTGCACAATTTGAAAGCTGCCAATGAATTTAGTAAGTTTATCTCAGAATTACAAATTTAAAGGTTCAGAGTGAACTTTTACTTTCTTAGCCAAGCATCCCTGCTCGGACTCTGGGGAAATGGGAAAGAAACTGTGTGAGACCATGACAGCCCACGTACGGGAGACCGGACGGTGGCCACAGCGTGAAGGGTGGTGTTTACGCGGTATTCTCCTAGGGTAGTGGGCCGCCCGCAATGGCGGCTTCTGGGCGTGCATGAGCGGTCCCGCGGAGACGCGCATGTGCGACCACTGACCGGTTAGTCAACAGGGGCGGGGAAGGCGGCGGTTCGCAAAAAAGGGACTTTTTTTTTCCAGTCTAGCGGTTAGACCTTCACGAGGCGCCCGTGACATATGCACGGAAGTCTCGTTTAGGCAGAAAGTGCATGCAGGCCACCCAGTCACTGTGTGTAGCGAGGACAAAGAGTATGGTGTTGGCTCCGGCGAGTGGCCACAGTCTTGGATGCGGTTGTATGAGTTGAGTAGCGCTGTGGTCCTTGCAGGGGCCGGGCCTATGGAATTCTTGAAGGCGAGTGACTATGAAGCCCAGGGAAACAAGCGTCCTGTATCTTGTTTTGCCCGCTTCCCTTACGGATGGAGCAACCGCTGACCGGATGCTGAGCGTGCCGGGTCCGCGTTTCCGGTGTGGCAGTTTTGTGACGTAGAAGAACCTGAAACCGACAGCGGCGAGGGGAGGGCGAATGGCCGCCACCTGCTTCTCTTGACCTGCCTTAGAAAGAATGGAAAGCAGAGGCCAGCGGGAAGACACCTTGAAGGTTAGGGATCCAGGATTGCGCTACACCCCTTTCTTAACTCGGAGAGCCACTGGATAGCCGGCTAGCCGAAAACTGTGCGCCTTTTGTGTAGTATTGTGCCTTTGCGTTAGGCGATACGGGAACTAGGCCCGTAGGAGATTAACCGGTTGATTCGCGGGACAGGTTATTTGTGGTTTACTCTCTTTTTACCGCAGAAGGAATGTTGATATAGGTCTAACTCTGTTTCCATTAAGGGCAGATCCTTTACCTTTGAAGTCTGCCCGACGACGGGGCAGGATATGTGGTGTACGTGTGAGATCAGGCTCCTATACCGTGTCAGGAACCTACTGCAGTTTGCACTGCAGTGCTTCGGACCCTTATGCCTGCATTTTTGCCTCCCACGCCTGGGGGAGAGAATGAATAAAGGATAAAGCTTAGGTGCGGTTTGAGGGATTTAACGGTCTGCCTTTTGAGATAGTTTTTCACTGCGTCGTATTAAGGCCTGCAACTTACTGATTCTTAATATGTTAAATAGACCGTAGAAACAGAGAACTAAGGAATAGAGAATTCGGCGGTACGAGTTTACAATGTTTTCTATGTAACTGGCAACACTTAACTCTTGATAAAGCGTACTGTCTACTTCGCTAGAATTAAGTAGTAACCAGATTCAGATGGCGAAGTTTTAAAATACAGTATCTTAATCGATGATGCATTTAATTTGATAGTATCTTGAACTTTCAATACATATGTAAGCGTGTTATGGCGTAGAAGGTTTGTTCAGAGAGGTGACAAAGTTGCTCTGGGCGTTGCACTTGTTTCTTGCAACCTATTTTGACGTAGGTGATTGTCCGCCCCCCCCACCGCCACGCCCCCCCCACCGCCACGCCCCCCCACCGCCCGCCGCTACTGAGTACTTCTTGGTAAAGCATTATGCTGCAAGCCCATAAAGCGAAATCACCTTTTCCCCCTATAGTTTTAAAATCTAGCCGTATAAGGAGGCAGGAGTTAAGAATGGGTATGTCATTTTAGAAGCATTAAAGAAAAGATGTGTCGCTTTTTAACTTTGTCACCAAAGACCTCTGAAGTTGATGTTTAAAATGGGAGAAATGAATACTGCCACCTTCATAGAGCGTCAAACATGAAATGACAGCTGTGTAAAGCTGCACAGTACTCAAAACATAGTGAAGTTGGTTTATTATTTTAACTTTTGATGTCTAGGAATTTATCTGCCTTAAAAATAGTTGCACAGTCTTTGGCGCCAGTCGACCGTAAGGAATCTTCAAATGTTCCGGTGTCCATTTATTTTTAGGTTTAGGATATCAAGAAAACCACTGTCTTTGGGAACATTTTACTATTAACGACTGTAGCTAAATTGAATGTTTAAGTTACTGAGAAATGGATGGTAGATTTTTTTTTTTTTTTTTTTTTTTTTTGTTTGGAAAGCTTTTACCATGGTAAATTGTTCAAGAAAATTTGTTTGGAGTGAATGAATTTGAACTTTGTTGGTATGAAACTGCCGGTATTCAGGTGGTGCCATTTGCATTTGTCATGGTTGATAGACTTAAGCATCTTTAAAATCTTGTCGGGTAATGCCAGGCAGTCCCAGCAGCCAAGTGTATGGTACAGGATAAGATTGGAATCCAGGTCTTCTTATTTGTCGCTTGTGATCTTATCTGTTCTTGTGTGTCAGCATGTGAGCTATTGATACCTCTTTTCTAGCTTGCGGATCTGGACCTGAACTCCTCTGAGAAACAGAGTGGAGGAGCAAGTACAGCAAGCAGTAAGTAAAACCTTTGTTTTTGGCCCAGCCTCGCTCTGTAGCCGAGGCTAGAGTGCAGAGATGCCATCTCGGCTCCCTGCAGCCTCCGCCTCCCTGGTTCAAGCGATTGTGCTGCCTCATCATCCCGAGTAGCATGGATTACGGGCGCGCCACGCCTGGCTAATATTATGAGGAGAGAGACGGGGTTTCCCCACGTTAGCCAGGATGGCCTGGATCTCAGATCTCCTGACCTGCCCACGTCGGCCTCCCAGACGACTGGGATTAGAGGGTGAGCCCATCGCTCCCCCGGCCCGAAAACTCTTTTTTTAAAACGGAGCCTTGGGCTGGGCTCGGTGGCTCAGGCCAGTAATCACAGCACTTGGGAAGGACGAGGCGGGTAGAGCCTGAGGTCAGGAGATCGAGACCAGCCTGGCCAAGGACGGTGAAACGCCGGCTCTACTAAAAATACAAAAAAATTAGCCCGGCGTGGTGGCTCGTCTCTGCACTCCCAGCTGCCTTCGGAGGTTGAGGCAGGAGGATCCCTTGACCTGGGATTCAGAAATTTCCAGAAAATTTTCACTCTCCAACTTTTCATGTGTTTTTATGGTATCTCCACTTTAATCTTTGGACATTTTAAAAAAGCCTCTTCCTGGGTAGATGATTTAGTATAGCACATAGAACCTTTTTTTCCTCTCTCTCTACGACACTGTTACGTTGGAGTAATGGCCGCGTTTAATGATCAGTGTTGATTTCATGTAGCAGTTATCTGAAATAGAGCCTTTTAAAACATGGTTATTAAATAACCACTACTAGCTACTGAAATACATTTGGTTCTCAGCGTATTTTCGAGTAAGCATTTTTTCCCCTTCATCTTGCAAAGTAGTTTCCTGTATGAAATACAGGTTTTAGAAGTTTGTTTTCCAGGACCTATCTTTTCATAGACGTTTTCTGAATAGGCAGCGTCGTGGTGATGTCATAGGCTTCTAATTTTACATTTTCTCTTTTAGAAGGACGCTATATACCTCCTCACTTACGGAACAGAGAAGCGTCTAAAGGTATGTATTTAAGGCAAGTTTGTAGATGTAACCTTTAGCAGCTCATCAAAGCCTAGGGAAAAAGAGTGACTTGAGGAAGTCTGTGAACACTTTTTGTCCCCTCCTGTGCCTCTTTTGGACTGTCTTTAGGAACTAGCACTTTCTGTCCTCGGAAAAGTTCCTCGAATGTTGAATGATGGATACTTATTGTGTCCTGTGGCAGACTGAGCCCAAAGAATTTGGGTTTGTGTCGTTAACCTACCAAGTAGGTTAACTATGGTACTGTATCTGTTGGTAACATTTATGGTGTGGTTTGAATTTGAAAGTGGCATATTTTTGCGAATGCCTTATGTCAAAGAAACTGTCTGGTGGTAAAGTTTCTGCTTGCTGCTGTCTTGAAAAGTTGCCACAGTGAAATGGTGTTTTGTTTTTCTGGACTAGTTAACAGTTGTAAAATTATCACTTTGGGCCACATTCAATGAGCTGGGGATATGTTTCAACCCAGACAACTTCATTGGAAAGGTGTTGTATGAAATGCATTAAAACACCTAGGGTTGTTTCCTATCAAATTTGTAAGGTAGAAGAGTTCATTAGAAAAGTTTAATTGGGGTGATGTTTTGAGTGCCTCACGCACATCAAAAAATTTCTAGGAGAAGGAAATGTCAGGAAAAATATTTAAAACCAAAAGGAAAGAAGCTAATGATAAAGGGGTGTGGAGTGGGTAGAGTACTTGCAGTTGACTTTGTTTTTCTCTGTTTAGTCTGTACCCTGTTTTTAAGTCTGTATGTGTTTATCAGAAGACCACTTTGCTAAGGATTGTTTTCTTTTTTCAGAGTAACTGCAGAGTTTCTTTTATCACAAGCATGCTAAGTGTTGTATCTGGCTGGAATTGCACCCGAGGTGTCTTAAGTGCCTTAAGAAGAGTTGGCAATATTTTAGTATTTGCGGGGATGGAAGAGACGTTAACCATCTAACTTCCTTAATGTGGGAAGTACTATGGGTCATTTGTCTAATACTGGATTTTTAAAAGCAGGGGAGAATGAAAAGTGACAACTTTATAAACTTGTAACTTTAAACATTTAATTAAAAGTTTGGATTAGGGAAGCCCTCCAGCAAGTTTGCTCTTGTCATTCCTTTGTCAGTTTGTAGACAATGAAAGTAGGTAATAATGAGGGTTTTTAAAACTCAAGTATAGGTTTATTCTCACTGAGGGTATTAAGATGACACAATTATGTTTGGACTCTTGGTAGGCCAGTAGTGTGTGTATGAGCGTAGCACACAGTGATGTTTGTAACAACTTAGTTTTAGTTGTTAACAGTAAAATAGAAAGTCTTGACCATCTCTGAATGCGAGATTGTGTTAAAATAACTTTATGTGAATAGTTCGAGAAACGTTGTTTTTAGGTGGTAGGATGCCATAGTGACTTAAGAAATGGGTTGTGATGTTCAAAGTTAGAGCAGTGTCAATGGGAAAACCTAATTTGCTGTATCTTTACTGTCCCCTGCCTGAAATTTTCAAAGAGTAATTAGAAATTCTCTGTCTTAATAGGCCTGACATATTTTTATCTGATTATGTAGATCTCTTCTCTTAGTTCAAGGTAATCCACAGTCCCTGAGGTAGTCTTTAGCTGGGCCTTTCCAAAATGTGTATTATACATAGCTTACGTTAAATGTTTAGGTTTAACACCTTTTGCGTTACGTTATTCAGGATTTGTCAAAGATGGATCATAGCTAGGAAACTAACAGAAGCATCGCTTGCACTAGCTACAAGTTGAGCTTAAAAGTGAGGGAGTTGGAATCCCTCCTAATCAGTCATAGCTTAAAAAAAGACATCGTAAATAATTGCATTGGAGTAGGTTTACGTGTTGGACACATAACATTTATACTTAGGGGGTGAATGAAAACAATTACTATTGTGGTGATAGTATCATAGCTGTGTTACATGCAGGCTACGTTGTTCTCAGGTCATGAGATTACTTTGCCTCATTTAATCATCTCTGGTAGAAGAACACATTAACGCTTGTAAAAATTCTGCTTATGGGACCTGTTGGTTGACCTTTGTTCCCACAAGGATAAGATAAAGGAAGACTACATGTGAAGCACCTGTTGACCTTTGTTCCCAGCAGGATAAGATAAAGGAAGACTACATGTGAAGGACTTCGTATTTGGGAAGATGGAAATCGTGTAAACGTCTCATCAGCTTTCAATTTTTGCTTTTTTTATTGAAGGATTCTCTGATAAAGACAGTTCAGGTTGGAGTTGCAGCAGAGATAAGGATGCATATAGCAGTTTTGGGTCTCGAGAATCAAGAGGAAGGTCTGGTTATTTCAGTGATCGTGGAAGGTAAATCCCAGCTTGTGTGTTTATACAGTAGCAGTTTAGGAATCTTAATTTGGCAAGTTCTCATTCTTCATACTTACACTGGTCCTTGAGCATATCTTTAAGAGACTACTCATGGATTTAAAGCAGAGTGATGGTTTATCATTGCTCTGTTGGCACTGAGAGTTCTTTACTAAAAGTAGTTTATTAATTTAGACGAATATACTATTTGACACAATGAAGTCTGTTTCAACTTAAATGATACAGTCTGCGACAGCTTTAAATGCTTCGTGTGTGTGCGTGCATGCGTGCGTGCGTGTTTCTTGAGACAGAGTCTTGCTCTGCTGCCCAGGCTGGAGTGCAGTGGCACGATCTGGGCTCATTGCAGCCTCCACCTTCTGGGTTCAAGTGATTCTCCTGCGTCAGTCTCCCAAGTACCTGGGACTACAGGCGCCCACCACCTGGCCGGCTAATTATTCTTTTCTTGGTAGAGACGGGACCGGGTGGGTTGGCTTATGCCTGTAATCACAGCACTTTGGGAGGGCGAGGTGGCAGGATCACAAGGTCAGGAGTTCGAGACCAGCCTGACCAACACGGTGAAACCCCATCTCTACTAAAAATAGAATGATTGGATGGGTATGGTGGAATGTGCCTGTAGTCCCAGCTACTCAGAAGGCTGAGGTAGGAGAGTCACTTGAACCCAGGAGACAAAGGCTGCTCTGAGTTGAGACGGCACCACTGCACTCCAGCCTGGGTGGCAGAGCAAGACTCCATCTCAAAACAAACAAACAAACAAACAAACAAACCCTAATAATTGAATTTGATCCTGTCTTGTTTTTCAGAAACAGGAATAAAACTCTAAGAAAAATGTTCTCTTGTCACGTGTCTTCTACTTTTTTATATCTAAAAATGTTATATCTAAAAAATTTCATGTGTTATTCCTGCTTTCCTGCCAGTAAATATATTTAGATGATACCAGTAAATATGTTTAGATGGTACTGTCTTAAATGAAGATGTAAAGTATGCACTAGTTGTAAGTATCTAAACCTAATTCTTAGCATGAGATGTCTAAGCTGTGTAATTTTATAAAAATTTTTATAATTTTCTTAAGAACGAAGACACAGATTACACATAAGCGCTGGTTAATTAGAGGGGCTTATTTCACACGAGGTAAACACTGAGTTGCTGACATCGTTTAAGGGTGGTTGTGTTCAGTAAGTCAGCTGATACCCAAGGACATTTCTAGAGGGGTGATAATCCGATATCGGCTAAATCGTGTATTTTTGATTGCTCGTGCCATTCAGATTTGATGATCGTGGACGGAGTGAATATGATGGTATTGGCAGTCGTGACAGAACTGGCTTTGGTAGATACGAACGGAGTGGACACAGTCGTTGGTGTGACAAGTCGGATGAAGATGATTGGTCAAAACCACTTCCACCAAGTGAACGCCTAGAGCGGTAAGTTTTTGAACAACATGTTATACTAAGCCATAAGTTTCGTAACAATTTATATACATGTAATAATTGTCTGATTTCAGGGAACTGTTTTCTGGAGGAAACACGGGGATTAACTTTGAGAAATACGATGAAATACCAGTAGAGGCAACCGGCAGTAACTGTCCACCACATATTGAAAACGTAAGTTTTTGTTTGACTCTTAAAGTTCTTAATGCAAACCCATTGGATTATGAAACATTAATGCCACTATTAAGAATAGTCTCGGAATTGGCCGGGCACGATGGCTGACGCCTGTAATCCCAGGACTTTGGGAGGCTGAGGCGGGCAGATCATGAGGTCAGGAGATAGAGGCCATTGTGGCCAACGTGGTGAAACCCCGTGTTTACTAAAAACACTCAGGTGAGCTGGGCATGGTGCCACGCACCTGTAATCTGAGCTATGCAGGAGGCTGAGGCAGGAGAGTCCCTTCAACCCAGGCATCGGAGGTTAAGGTGAGCCAAGATTGCGCCCCTGCACTCCAGCCTGGCCACAGAGTGAGATTCTGTCTGAAAAAGAAGAAGGACGACAGGCACGAGCCACCATGCCTGCCTCCAAATGCTGTTTCAATTTTTTAAACCCAGGAGTCCATTTTGTTAAAAAATGCCACGATTCTTTAACTGAAATCATAGCATCTGTAAACCAAATCACAGACAGTTTGGTTACTTCCATTAATATGGTAGTGTAAAACAGAAATTGCAAAAGATACAGCATTTTATATCTGTCATGTTTACTTCTATATTTACTTGTATTTGATTAACCCGGCTACATTTCCTGACAGTTCAGTGATATTGACATGGGAGAAATTATCTTGGGGAACATTGAGCTTACTCGCTATACTCGTCCTACTCCAGTGCAAAAACATGCCATTCCTATCATTAAGGGAAAAAGAGACTTAATGGCTTGTGCCCAGACAGGTAAGCTTAGTTGATAAAAAGCAAAAGTTAAGACTATCTAATTGGGCTTACTTTAAAAGTAGTATGTTCTGAAGGGATGTCTGAGTCCTGTGTTTAGCATTTGAGAGAGCTTGGGGATGTGCCTTTTTGTCTGTACCTCTGGATCCTTGGGATGTATCTGGGCATCTTGAGGAAGCGCATGGCAAATTGTCAGCTTGAATACCTTCTTTAAGAAACAGAACTGCGTCTTTTTCGGTTAACTCCACGGGAGTTAGCAGACTGCAGCCTGATCTGAAACCTAGCACTTGTGTATTTTTCAACAGCCATATTCGAATATAAATACCCATTTGTTATGTCTGTGCTGTAGAGGTTAGCCAGAGATTTGGCACAGATAAAAAGTGTTCTCTTGTAGAGACTGGCCTGCAAGAGCCATGTACTGTTAGCTCTTTACAGAAAGTTTACTGATTCCTGCTTTACCTTCCAACACTATAGAGCCACTACAAAGAAATGTTGCACTTTTCAGACAAAATGGTTGTGTTTTGTACAAATTAAAATGTACTGTTTGAAAGTAGAGCACAGAAGTCGCTTTACTCCTTAGGTTTGCCGTATAAATTTACTGTACGTCCTAGAAAATTGGAAATGGAGTAAGAAAAAATTTCCTGTAATTCTCGAGAGCATCGAGAACACTTTATCAACGATTAATATTCAGAAATGATAAGTCAGTGTTTTGTCTTCAGGTTCTGGGAAAACGGCAGCATTTCTTTTGCCCATACTGAGTCAGATATATACAGATGGTCCAGGAGAAGCTTTGAAGGCCGTGAAGGTAAAGGTATTGCTGTAAAATGAGACGTTTTTGTTTTAAAAAGGCTTTGCAAATGCCTGTTGACTTTTCTAAACAAGGCCAGCTACACCTTATTTTTATTTTTTCACCCCGTTCACCCAATGAAAATAAGTCTGTAGGTGTAGTCTGCACATTATAAAAGGAAACTGGTAAGTTTTAAAAAAGAATTACAGTTTTTGGCCAGAAAGTGTAAATTATTTTCATTTTTTAGGGAAACGGAAGGTGTGGGCGCCGCAAGCAATATCCAGTTTCCTTGGTTTTAGCCCCAACGAGAGAATTGGCTGTACAGATCTATGAGGAAGCCAGAAAAGTAAAATACTCATTTTAGTGATTGTTGCTTTTCTCCTTGATCAAACGATGTTTTTATGGCCACTGACATGTTCTTTGCTTACAGTTTTCATACCGATCTAGAGTTCGTCCTTGTGTAGTCTATGGTGGTGCTGATATTGGTCAGCAGATTCGGGACTTAGAACGTGGATGCCACTTGTTAGTAGCCACTCCAGGACGTCTAGTGTATATGATGGAAAGAGGAAAGATTGCGTTAGACTTCTGCAAGTACGTCAGTTTTTACATATGGGATGCGCCTCTTTTTGTATTAGAAGTTGATTACTTCTGTAGTATTTTTACTAGGGCTGCCTGAGCTTCGATAATTTAATTTTCCACATAGTTTTGAAAATTGCAGTTAACCTTTTTGTTTAAAGAGTAAGTGAAATTTTAATTGAGGCTCTAAGCTTTATTTTAACAATCAACATGTGGCTAATTTGGTTGTAATCTTGAGCCATTTTGTCTCTGTGTGTGTGCGTGCGCGCATGTGTGCATGCATGCGTGTGTGTATCTGTTTGTGGCACTGGAATATTCCCTTATGGAGGGGAGTACATTAGTGTAATTAGTTAGGCAACATACCGAGTAATTAGTGTGTCAGATCTAATGATCCAGGATCAACTGAGGGTTTTTCATAACAGGTACTTAGTGTTGGATGAAGCTGATAAGATGTTGGATATGGGATTTGAACCTCAGATACGTCGCATCGTTGAACAAGATACCATGCCACCAAAGGGCGTTCGTCACACCATGATGTTTAGTGCTACTTTTCCTAAAGAAATACAGGTATTGTTGGATGTTTTCGTTTTTGATTAGAGCATATGTGTTTATTATATTTAGATAATTTGTGTACTAAAGTAGGCAATTGAGTATTTTTCTCACTTTTTCAGATGCTTGCTCGTGACTTTTTGGATGAATATATCTTTTTAGCTGTCGGCAGAGTAGGCTCTACCTCTGAGAACATCACACAGAAAGTAATTTGGGTGGAAGACTTAGATAAACGGTCGTTTCTGCTTGATATCTTGGGAGCAACAGGTAAAATTATGAATAATAATAATAATAGTGTCAGTTACATGTAAGGAGAATCTCTTTACATCTCTTCTGTTCCTTCCCTTGCCTTTTCCTCATTCTAAACATAGTTATAACAATGTTTACATTAATTGCCTCCAAGATTTATTCTAGCAGAAGGACTAGAATTAACCCAGTTAATATTTAGATTAACCAGCGATGCTAATTCATTATGAGTAAACAAAGCCTTCTGATTTTTCAGGGAGGGATTCACTGACTTTGGTGTTTGTAGAGACCAAAAAGGGAGCAGATTCCCTGGAGGATTTCTTATACCATGAAGGACATGCTTGTACTAGTATTCATGGAGACCGATCACAGAGAGATCGAGAGGAGGCCCTTCGCCAGTTTCGCTCGGGGAGAAGCCCAATTCTTGTGGCTACAGCTGTATGTAAACGTTATTTTTTAATTAATCATGTTTGTACAGTGCTTTTTTTTTTAAAATAAAAGTTATTTTTCAGGTTGCAGCACGAGGACTAGACATTTCAAATGTGAGACACGTTATCAATTTTGATCTGCCGAGTGATATTGAAGAATATGTGCATCGTATTGGCCGTACAGGACGTGTAGGAAACCTGGGTAATAATTTTGTTAGGGAGTTTTATTTATTTTGGTTTTATTATTGTGATGCACCCAGCAAAGATTTGACAAAGGACCTTAAAAATAGAACGTTTATATCTGAGGAAAAATTTTAGATTAATCAGCCAACTAAATTTTTTTTTCCGTCCGTTTGATTTGGTTGTACTGCAAATCACAATGTCACGTTTTAGTTTTGGACTTACAATATTTTACATAGGGATATAGGAATGTAAGAACAGCATGCTGCTTTATGGAAACTTCATGTGCTTTTTTTGATCTATGTAGGCCTTGCCACCTCATTCTTTAACGAAAAAAATGTGAATATTGCAAAGGATTTGTTGGATCTTCTTGTAGAAGCTAAACAAGAAGTGCCTTCTTGGTTGGAAAGTATGGCTTACGAACACCACTACAAGGGTGGCAATCGTGGACGATCTAAAAGGTACGCACTGTTGTGAGCCTTCCCTCTTGGTATTACCTATTGGGGGCAGTAAGCTTTCAGAGTTAGCTTTTCCCCGAGTAACGGGTTAAACAGTTATTTTCAACTATAATACATAAACGTTTGGGCAAGGGGTAATTATTAGAAAGGTTGACATGGCGTTAGGTGTCAGTTCTTCACTACTGAGTACTTTAGAAACTCTGCTAGAACACCTGGGACATTAATGGTACAGTTCCCATGAGAACATAATGGCACTGAACTGAAAACTTAAATGGGGAACTGTGAACTTGAAGCAGGAATTTGCTGTTTTAATCCAACTTTGGACTTACAGTGCCATGCTATATTTTTGCTTTCAATAATAGATTCAGCAGAGGATTTGGTGCTAGAGACTGTCGACAGAGTAGTGGCTCCAGCAGTTCTGGCTTCAGTAGTAGTCGTGCAGGCAGCAGCCGCGGTGGTGGAGGTGGTTACGGCAACAGCAGAGGATTTGGTAGAGGTAATGTTAATTTTTCCTTGAGGAAGGGCTTTTTCTTTTTCTTGTGAGTCCTGTTTTTCATACCATAATTCATTGGGGAAATTTAATTTCTGAGGGACACAAACTCTTAACACTAGATTTCTTTTGTTGGGTTTACGTTAGAGTACTTGAGAAAAAAAAAGAAAGGTGACTTAATGTTTCTCTCTTTAAACATTTTTCTTGATAGGTGGCTATGGAGGCTTCTACAATAGTGATGGATATGGAGGAAATTATGACTTCCAGCGGGTTGACTGGTGGGGCAACTGAATCTGCTTCACAGCAAAGTCACCCTTACAAACAAGCTAATATGCAAACCACATGTAACTGAGCCAGACTGTGTCGTGTCACCTCAAGAACTTGCAGGACGTTACCAGCAGTGATTGTCCTGAAAATTCAAGGGAGCTCAAAGTCACAAGAAGAAGAATGAAAGGAAATAAAACAGCAGCCCTATTCAGAAATTGGTTTGAAGACTTAATTGCTGTGATTTGGATTTAACTCTCCCCTCCTGCTTCAGTCCCACCCCAAACTGCATTTATAAGTTCGTGGCTAAGGATCGTTTTGTTTGTTAACATACTGTGACTTTAACTTTAGACAGCTTCCTACTTTGATGTCCTGTTGGATCAGTCATGCTCACGATACCCACTGTTTTGACAAAATAAATTTACTAACCTCGGCCTAAAATCAAACCGTGGCACACAGGTGTGATACAACTTCAACAGGAATCATCAATTCATCCGTGAATATAAACGGGGAAAAAACAAAACAAAACATCTTCAGACAGTAGCCTGCATTCGGACCGCTTGACTCTTGCAGTCTTGGGGGGTGGGGGATCATCTTAAAGCATTAAAGCATAGTTTGTTTTTTTTTTTATGTGGCCAACCTATAGTAAGTTCTGATTTTCTCAGTGTATCCTGGAGGGGCGCTTAGAAACTTACCCTCTTTAAATAAGCCATTCCAGTGGTGAGGAGGTGGAATGTATCACCATACCCATTAATATTTTTGAAAGAGCTCTTAAAGTTAACTGAAATAAACACAGCAGTTTCTCTTCTAAAAAAGTTTGAGAAGTTTATTCTAAGCTAGGCAAACTTGGGCATACTGTCACAGGAAAGGTTGGTTTAAAGCTTTGATAAGATGTTTGGGGAAATATCATTTAAGTAGTTTTTTTATGCCTGCTGTAAAAATTCAAAATGTTAGAATGGCTGGCCATGGCAACGACCAAGTCTCACGGCAGGCCTGATTGGTTTCTGGTCTTTAACTGCATGCTAGTGTTTATGTTCTTCAGTCAAGAAGGAAATTAAACAGGAAGGATTATGCAGCAGGCTTTAATGTAAATGTAGATTAGTAATGCTCTGTTGAAGCTGCATTGAAATGTTAAAATGGCTTACACTTGTGGACTTTTTAAATCTAAGGCTGCCAAATGCTTGAAATCACACAGGTTGCATTTATGTACTAAACTGCACAAGGTATACCTTCTCTCTGCAGTTTTAGTGTATTTTAGTTGCATAGGTTTCCATTGTATTAGCAGTCTCTTGTGGTAAATTTGGCCAAAGACGGTTGTCCACCGCTCAAAATGCCTCTCTCACTTGGAATTCTCTACTGATTTTGCAGCCACAATGCAATGATCTTCAGAAACAAATCTTTTCAGTGGCATCAGAAGTTGGCAAAATTTGTTAAAGTGCAAGAGATTTTCAAGTGTCTTGTGCCTTGTTCTAAAATTTGTAAGTAGGTGTACTTTACAGTATTGAGGTCATTTATTAAGGTGCTATTTCAATTAGTATAAGTTTAGACTCTTGTACATTTTGCCCATAACTTTTTACAAAGCACTTACTGCAGATTGAGAGAACTTTATATATGACTGTCTTGTGTGTGTGTTCTCAATCTCCCAGTTTTATTTCATCTCTCAGAGATTGTTGAATGCAGCCAGTCAAGAAGTAGATTGCAAAATTTTATTTGGGACCGTGGAATGATAGTTGAGAAGAAAACTGTTTGCACACAACAGATTTTAGATACTTTTGCTGCTAGTTGTATAATATTTATTGAAAATTTTGACAAATATTTATTTTTGTAAGCCTAAAAATGATTCTCTGAAAGTTTAAAGAAACTTGACCAAAAGACAGTACAGAAAACACTGGCACTTGAATGTAACCGTATGTGAAATAATATATTTTCTGGTAGTGTGCGCTTTTAATGTCAAGTCCTATTAAACTTGAGTCAAATTAAGCAGACCCGGCATTGGCAATGTAGCTATAATTTTCTGAGAAAATTTAAGACAAAATTGTCAACTTGAATTAAAACTTGCCACGGTTTTGATATCCTTGTCTTATGGTATTAATGAAACTCATCTGAACACTGATATGAAGTGTCTACATCGTAGATGCTCTCTGAGTTTGTTAGATGTTTTGTTTTGAATTTCAGTGATTGTCTGGCATATCTACAGTCCTCAAACATTATATTTTTGTGTATTGCCGTGAGCAGTGACTTACATTCAGTTTCATCAGCCAGCAATATTTTCAGTAAAGAATGTAATTGCTGAATGTAACCATTGACCCTCAAGTCACTCTAAGTTTAGTAATTGCTTATTGTATTAGTTGCAGATGCTGTTACTGCATGTGCTCTGTTATTCTGATTTTACTACAATAAAAAGTTAAAAATCTGTTTTCTGCTGTCACCAGTAGCTTAATGTTGAGTTGAAAATGAACTTGTCTTAACCTGAAGATTGGAAATCTGGTATCTTGGCTAACTACCAAAGCTATTTGAGAAATAGGTCTGGAGGCTAGAAGTATGTACTGGCCTTACCTACTTGAATGAATGATGGCGGTGTAAGTTTCGGAGTACTGAGGCAGGATTTGTATTGTGGACTGATGGAAATCTAAAAGGCCTATATATGCAGCATGTATTGCATTTTGGTCTAAGCAACTTAATGTGAGTGTGATTGTTATTTTAAGCATTTTTGATGTGAAGGATGACTGAACTGAGGAGAAAGTCAGTTGACCAACCAATTACTTTCTGACTGTAAGTAGTAAGGTCAAGAGTTAACTGGAGCCAGTTAATGATAGCAGAGATGGGATATCACCTTTTGTCGAACTTTTCTTTTTTTCTGGTGGCTGGCAGTCCCATTTAACACACTGTGACAGGCAGTTAGCACCAGTTAAACATGATAGGCGAGGCTGAGTGCGGTGGCTCACGCCTGTAATCCCAGCAATTTGGGAGGCCGAGGCAGTTGTGTCACGAGGTCAGGAGTTCGAGACCAGCCTGGCTAACATGGTGAAACCCATCTCTACTAAAAACACAAAGATTAGCCTGGCCATGGTGGTGTGTGCCAGTAATCCCAGCTACCCGGGAGGCTGAGGCAGAAGAATCTCTTGAACCCAGGAAGCGGAGCTTGCAGTGAGCAAAGATCACGTCACTGCACTCTAGCCTGGGCAACAGAGCAAGACTCCCATCACACACACACGCACACATACACACAATAGGCACTGCACTGTAGTCTGGGTAACAGCAGGACTTCACACACACACATACACACACACACACACACACATACACACAGACACACAATAGGCACCGCACTGTAGCCTGGGCAACAGAGCAAGACTCCATCACACACACACACACACACAGACAGCAAGACTCCATCTCTCACACACACATAACACATAACAATGAGAGGCAAACTGGTCTATTATGTTAATGTCTGAAATGCGTTTTTTTGTTTTTTTTTTTAAGGTAGTCAAGAACCTCAGTGTCCCTTTGTGTCCTCTCTTTGCAACTGACCTCAGACTGCAAAAGATAAGCACTTTTTTTTAACATCACAGAGAAGCTTTTGGCTATTCTTAAACTTTGTGTAAATGAAATCAGCAGCTTACATTTTTGTGACCGGTTTCCTGCAGTAAATGTATCTGTGAGATGAAATTATATTGTCACTTAGAATTGTAACATTCTGATTGTTGTATGGAATCCTATTGTGTAAATAGCACCTGATTTCTAGTTCGTAACGGTAACATTTTCATATGATTATGGTAAATACGAATGCTCCTGCATGTTTTCAGTGTTAGAAGTATACCATTTTACACTTCCTCTCACAGTTGATGAGATTTCTGGTTCCTCTACTTTTCTCACCATTACTTGGTTTCTTAAACTCTTTATATATTTACGTAGGCATGTTATTATCCTGTTTTAATTTGTATTTATCATCCTGATGACTAACGATAATGCACCTGAGGTGTGATAGGGTTCATTCAGTTAAAAAGAGTTTGTCCTTATCAGTTACAGGCATACTTAGTAAATGAGCTGATTTTGGGGAACTGCTATCTCCCAAAAAATGATAGTGTAGGTAAAATTGGGTTAGCAATTATCAAGTTGTTCGGTTTGGTTGATGGTAATATAGTTCAGTAAACAATTTACTCCTGATGTTTGAAGATTAGTAGATAATACTTGTGGAATAGATACTGTTTGGAAATTCTGCAGTGAACCAGCCAAATAGTGACCAAGTCAACTTTCTACCCCCAGAAATGGTCTCCCATTTTCTTCCATCCTGATCAGGCATTTTTAGGTGTGATTTTTCACTGAATCATTGTATCTGTCTTCTCCAGGACTGACGGTTAATACATTGAATGTGTGCGCATTTGCACGCAAGTATGTGTATTTGCCCTTTGAAGACCACAGACAGTAGTCTAATGCCCATTTCTAGGAGTATGAGTTCTTTGGATTCAGAGAATAGCTGATCAGTTAGGATCTGAATTCCATGCAATGGTCTCATTCCTCTTGGACAAACGAAGTGGATGCATCTCTACAGCAGTCAAGAGAACAGTTAGACAAGCTTGTCCTGACAACACATGTGAACAGGAAATGGTACTGATGTGTGCTACGTAGCAGTTGTGTGTATGAAAAACATGAGCCCTTTTAGAACTTTTCCTTAAGACATTAACTGACTATCTTTACAAAGATGAGCCTATTCACAGGGATGCTCAATTTAATAGCTGCAAGGAGAATGAATAGATTTCTGTAATGAGATACTATATATTTGAAACCGAAGTTTCCATATGCCCCTCACAAGGCGTATGACGGGAGTGGGTCACTTCTTCAGTGTCCCATGCGGTCCAACCCATAGGGGGAGCATGGGCTGTGACCCCATGGCAGTGTCTAGGATTGAGTGTGTACAGCTCTTGGGGCTGTGCTGGAGTGTGTTCTCTAGGTTTTGCTGTCTGCAGGCAACTTGTCTAGCTAATCAGTCCAGTTAGCCCCTCTGCCTTATTGCAAGGATGGAGGACTGTGTGGATCCCAGGTTCTTGCCCTAGCGCACTGAAAAATCAGACCACAGATCACACGTGTGCTTGGAGAATGAATGCAAGGTTTTATTGAGGGGGGGAGGTAGCTCTCAGTAGATAGCTGGGGAGCCAGAAAGGGGATGGAGTAGGAAGTTGGCCTTCCCCTGCAGCTGAGCTTCTCAGTGACTGGACTCTCTCATTTGACCACCCACACTCTACTGAATTTTCCTCGGCATCGAGACCACCCTACTGTCAGTGGTCTGTCACCATCTGTGTGATCTGCCAGTGTGTACCTCTTGATGTCCTGCTGTTTGCGTGTGTGCCCACTATGGTCTTGGGGTTTCTATAGGCACAGGGTGGCGGCTGTGGCAGGCCAGGGTGCTCTAGGAAAATGCAAGATTTGGGTGTGAACACAGGAGTACGTCTTCTCACCTAGGTACACGGGCACGAGGGTGGAGCCCTTGCCAGGGACCCTGCCCTCTTCTTGTATCATGTTTGTCCTCTGAAGAGGTACACCTATCTAACTGCCATCAAAACATGGAGACAACCAGTCTTAGCTGCTTCCTTCTGACAGGGGGCGTTGTTTTTAGGAAAACGGCAGTCAGATTCCTTCTAGAGCTCTGTTTAATTAAGGGTTCTTAGCTTGTCTTGAGGCTCTGGTTGCCTGCCTGTTTGGAGTTTGGTGGCCTCTGCATGAGAGAAAAACAAAACAAGTTTTATAAGGTCACATATGCATGGTTTAAATGCATATCATAGAAGGAAAATTTAGGGCCAAAGATTGAGCTAAGACGTAAAATATACTAACAAAAACATTGTATACCGAGCTGTTTTGCATTGCTGAAAGAAATTAAATCTCGAATGGGATCACTTAAACTTTAGAAGACAGGTACCTGTTGTAGCCATATTTTTAGCAGTTAACAGGTGTACCCTGCCTGGAAATTCTGGTGTTTGTGGGCTTACCTGGTGGTCATTAAAGCTTATGCCTCTTTCTCGGGTCCCCATTTCTCTCTTGTAAAAGACTGAGGTTGCCACTTTCAGGGGGTCCTCTAATGTACTATCCGGCCCCAGGGACCATTTCTTCCACCTCCTCCTAAAATCAAGGGCTGCCTGAGTTGTAAATTTATCCTTTAGGATTAGCTGTCCCTCAGGTGAATCAGGGGATAGAGAGGTGTGCTTGACCAAGACCTCTCAGCTTTTCCAAGAAGGTAGTGAGATTTTCATCAAATCTTTGGTCAGTTGTGGACAACTTAGTATAATTGGGATGCTTGGTCTTAGTCCTACATTAAGCCTTTCATTACGCACACCTGAAAGTGTCTCCTCTTCCAGTCTACTATCCCATCACTGGTATCCCATTTAGGGTAATTCACTGATACTGCTTCTCTTCCACTTGGATGGTATTTGCTCCATTCCCTGATGCTATGTGTGATGCAAAGCTCATCCCCAGATCCAAGCAGCAGTGCCTATCAGGGACTGATTCAGAAGTAACATATCTTTCCAGGAGAGTTCAAATATTTGGGTGAGATTCTGGAAATTTGCTTTAAGTTTTATAGGGAGAAGGGGACTTGGACCTTACTGGGCCCAGATTCACTGGGCATTTTGTGGTACCCCAGCGAGTTAGAGAAAGCACCACACGCTGAGATTGAATCAGGAGTCCTCTGTTTGCTGGGGACCGAGAGACGGCTAATGCTCAAAATTCTCTCAGCCCTGAAGAAGGGGCTTTGTTTGTTTTCATGCCTTGCTTAAAGGAGGGAAGGGGAGCCTAGCTAAAGCAAGTTTTACAGAAGCAGAGCAAGCAAAGATTAAAAGGTAAACTGTTGCAGAAAGATAAACAGTTGCCGATGTAGGGGCTTTTGGTTATCAGCGGGCAGGTTCGGAGGGGTGGCTGATACTATTAGCAGAGACATCCCTAGGAGAGGCTGGTACAGCTTAACTTGGTATCTTATCAGTAAGGACACTCCATTGTCTGCTTGTAGTCAGCTTAGCCCAGCTACCTGCTTAGGGGAAGGGAAGAAGTCAGGGGAGGGGATGGGCAAGTGAAGAAACTAAAGGGGAGTCTGTCCAGCCCATGAAGCTATCCCAGAGTCTGTGCAGCTCTCAGCTAAGAAAGAGAGAACTGGTTAGGCTAACAAAGGGTAGGTTATCACAATATGATGGAGGGGCAAGAGTGAGTCTGGGGCTTGTGAAGGGCAAGGATTTCTAGGAGGGGACAAGTGAGAGGCTGAAGCTGGATATGGAGGTTTGGGTGGACCTGGAGGAGCAGAGCTGGAGGAAGCTGGCTCATCTGCTGGGGTGCCTCTGGCACTCAGATCCTTAATTTCCTAGGCTTGCCCCTTGAAGTCTTCCCTGAGATGCCAAACAGGAGGACTGGATCAATCGTACACTGTTGGCAAAGTTCTGGATTGCCTTGCAAGTCACAGAAGCCCTGCATATATGAGAGCCAGACCATCTGTTCTCACGTCTATGAAAACGCTCCAGCTGCCAGGTGGTATAGAATTGAATTGAATTGATGGTATAGAATTGAATTATAAAGGGCCAACCCGGTCTTTAATTTCTCCAAACCTTTGAGGGCCATCGGCATTTTTCTCCAGATTCTGAGGGTCAAAGCAGTCTCAATGGTTCAGGACACACTGCCGAGGAATATAAGCTGGGAGTGGTGAAGAGAGCTGGTTGCCCATTCTGAAAGACAGGAAATAGAGGCATGTCTCATTTCTTTAACTTCAGTTTTGCTGAAGCAAAAACTGAGTGTGTGATGGAGAAGGAAAGCTAGTATCCTCCCTTCCCTTCCGCCACTTATCCCTCAGTCTCAGTGACCTTGGCAGGTGTTGGCCATAGGTACCAATGCAGTGTGGACCCATGGAGCAGGGAAAACCTGCAGAATAGGAATTAACCACCCTCATGTGTGCCACCTTTCTCCCTGCTGTTGACAAAGTTTGAGTTCTCTGGGCCTGTTTATGCCATGGGAGTATGGCCTCCTTCCATGGTGTTGGGGGTTGAGTCAATAGGAATTAGTGCTGCCTATTTACATTGTGCCCGTTGCCTGACTTTGGATCCCTCTGACCTGGGCTTATTTTCTAAGTTCTCAGCTGGAGGCTTGGAATGAAGTTTGGGACCAAAAAAGATATTTCAGAGACTGCTTCTGTTTGGGTAGTGTCTCAAACGGGCCTGCTGAATTTGCAGTTGTCAGCCAGCAAGGGATGGTTCTTTGTTAACTTCCCTATCAGAAATAGAGTGTTGGGAAGTGGGAGTCCTCTCACTCAGAAAAGGAAAAAAATAGAAAAACCAGGTTAAGGATCAAAACGGGGAGGTTCTAGGGAAAGACCTCCTTGCCCTGTGCAAGTGGGTCCCTTTAATCCTTGTATGCTTCCTCTGGTTCATACTTGGTTGAATTCCTTGGCCAGGGGAGGAAAGGTTCCATTGGTGTGACAGGCAAGAAGCACTTGCCTGCCAGCCCTGTGAGGTCCTGGCTACCACCCTGGTTTTCTCTCACCTACGCCAGCTCATGGCTGTTAGACACAACCTTTGCATGCTGTGGACATGTCTGGGTTCCCGTGCGGGGAGGAAACAAGGTAAGGGGAGGCTCCCTGAACTGTGTGTGTTTGCGTCTGTCAGGCTGGTGGCAGAGATGGCACCTCTAAGGACAGTTCATCAGATTTGCACTTTTGGCAGCTGAGCCATCTTACTTAACAGCATTGCTGCAGCCGGTAGCAAAACCCTTAACGTTATAAAGGACGTGTTAACAGCCATTTCAAACCACGAGAAAGAGAAAAGAGACAAAGGTGGGGTTTGACCAGCCCACTTAGGGCAGTTAAATCTCCTTGAAGGGAAACAGATCCTTTCATCTGTAAGAAAGAGAGGTGGCAGGGTTTTGGAAAAGAAGCAGATCTTCACATTTTCGCTCACCTTCTGGGATCTCAGATGAGTCCCCAGTTGAAACAGGAAAAGTTTCCCGATCTCCCTGGCAGGGCGTTACACAGGAGAAGTGGCACTTCTTTGAGTGCCCTGAAGCTCAAACCTGTCAGGGGAGCAAGCAGACAGGCAGATTGTGGAGTGTGTGGGCTCCAACCCCCTGGCCTTGGGTAAGGTTGAATGTTTATGGCTCCTGAAGCTCCACTGGGCGTGTGTTACAGACTGCTCTTTCAGCTTTGCCATATGCAGGTGGCTTGTGTTAATCAGCTCACTCAGACCCTTTGCCTTATCAGAAGAGCAGAGGACTTTCTGTATCATGGGTTTCCTTCCCTAGTGCACAGGAGAAATCAGATCACACATGGGCTTGGAGAATGAGTGCAGGGTTTTATTGAGCAGGGAAAGTAGCTCTCACTACATGGATGGCGAGCCAGAAAAGAGATGGAGTGGGAAGGTGGTCTTCCCCTGGAGTTGGGCCACTCAGAGTTCAGACTCTACTTTCACCATCCTTGGTTGAATTTCCGTTGGTGTCTGCATTGTTCTATTGTCCATGGCCTGTTGTGTGTTCTTCTGCCAGTGTGTTCTTCTTGACATCCAGCCACTTGTGAGTGTCCCTGCTACGGTCTAGGGATTTTTATAGGCACAGGATGGGAGGCGTAGTGCGCCAGGGTGGTCTTGGCAAATGCAACATTTGAGTGTGAACACAGGAGTGCCAGTCCTCACCTAGGTTTGTGGCCACAGGCCTGAGGGTGGAGCCCTCTCCAGGGACCCCACCTTTCTCTATGTAGCACGTCCCTGTCCCCATCCCATATCATATTCAAGAGAATTGGTATGTTGTGAAGTCTCAGCCTGATGAGCCAAGGAAGTCAGAGACAAAATGGTACATAATGTATGATTCCACATAGAAAGTTTAAATGTTAAAACCAGGGTTAGAGATGCCTTGAGGGGATATTAACAAAGAGGGCTTTTATGATGTCAATAACCGATGTTCTTTTTGAAGGTGTAGTTCACAGATACACATTCATCTCATAATTCCTTGAGCTGTGCATTTACTATGCATGCATTTTCTCTTTACCAGAGGTATTTTGTAGATCACTTTTTCCCCAAAAGTACTGTATTATAAAACGTTACAATAAATAGCTCCATGGACTTTGGCAAATACGCTGTTGTTACAAACTCACTCTTAGATCAAGATACAGAATGTTTCTGGCATTCTTAAGATGTTGTATTTCATCTTAAACTTAGGAGATTAGTGCTATTAGTGCTCCTTGTCACCAGTGAGGAACATTGGCACAGGAGGGTAAGAACCTGTCCCTTGGTACTACCAGCACTTCTCTAAATAATTTTTCACCTTCCCGTTGTGTTGGAGGGATGGCAAAGATGACAGTGATATTCTCTGCCTTTGTTCCTGAGGTCAAATCGTCAACCATTGTGTTTCTCCTGGAAAATAATGTTCTCTTTCCATGTGACCAAGCAGGAGCAATCTGGGTAAGGGGAGCATCAGTCATTCTTCTGAATCATTTCCAATCATCATCATCTTCGATCATGCCATAGAGTGTCAAGAATTGTCAATGCCAGGTGCAGGGGTGCTAACAGACTAGAAACTGCTCTCAGAGAGGATGTGATCATCATCTATCAAACTGGATGGTCAGTTTTTGTTTTTTACTCGCTAACCAAAGGAAGGAGGCTGAAGGTCTAGGAAGCTCATTGTAGGTACATTTAAACTGTGAGGTTTTATTGGACCTAGATAAAGTTTAGGTGTTGACTGGGGTAAAAAACATGGGGCTTCATATGGATTCTCTGGTTCAAATTATTTCTTAGTGCCCTCATGTACTGCCACCTTTGTCCTAGAATGAACCAATGCTCTCGTCTCAGAACTTTTTGCTTACCATTGCAAGATATTTCTGGCTTCTCTTAGGAATTAAGAGCCCTCACCTAGACTGAGCTCTCTCATCATACTTTGGCTAGCTGAAAGTGACATGGGAGGTCAGGGAAATTATGTGCCTATTTCTGAAAAGCATAAGATTAGAAATTAAAATGGGTTTATTAATGATATCTGGCAAACACAGTGATGAGAGACACTTACCAAAATGGAGCCAAGCTTTGAGGCAGCTTATGAGAATGGTTTTTTTTTTTTCCTTCCACATCTCAGGACAAAGAAATTTCCAGGATATAAGAAAGAAAAAAGAAAGAATCCATTCTCTGGTTTGAATACCTCTGACAGCAGGAGGATAGTTAAAATCATGAAACAATTTCTAAATTTATATGAGATGATTGTTCTCCTATGTCAAGGATAAAGCAGGAGGGAGCAGAAGCCACTCTGGAAGTGAGCCGGACTATGCTATTTTAGATTATTGTGTTGTCCTGCCAACTGTTGTTCATTCCCTGGTCTTCTGTTAGTTAAAGAATCAGCAACAAATTCCAAAATCTAAGATTATTGGAGATTCCACAGAAATTCAAACCATCATCAGAGAATATTACAAACAACTCTATGCACATAAACTAGTAAACCTGGAAGAAATGGATAAATTCCTGGACTCCTGTGTCCTCCCAAGCCTAAACAGGGAGAAAGCTGAAACTATGAATAGACCAATAACAAGGTCTGAAGTCAAGGCAGCAATTAAGAGCCTGCCACACAAAAAGAGCCCAGGTCCAGATGGATTCAAAAGGAATGGTACCAGACACACAAAGAGGAGCTGGTACCATTCCTTCTGAAACTATTCCAAATAATCCAAAAAGAGGGAATCCTTCCCAAATCATTTTAAGAGACCAACATCATCCTGATACCAAAACCCAACAGAGACCCAACAAGAAAAGAAAACCTCAGGCCAATATCCCTGATGAACATAGATGCAAAAATCTTCAATAAAATATTGACAAGCTGATTGCAACAGCAAATCAAAAAAACTATCCATCATGATCAAGTAGGTTTCATCCCGGAATGCAAGGATGGTTCAACATACGCAATCTACTCTATAAACGTAATTCACACATAAACGAACCAAACAACAAACCACATGATTATCTCAATTGATGCAGAGAAAGGCATTCGACAAATTCAACAGCCCTTATGCTAAAAACCCTCAATAAAATCGGTATCCATGGAACATATCTCAAAGTAATAAAAGCTATTTACGACACACCAACAGCTAATATACTGAATGGGCAAAAACTGGAAGCATTCCCTTTGAAATCCGGCCACTAGACAAGGATGCCTCTCTTACCCACTCCTATTCAGTATAGTACTGGAAGTTCTAGCCATGAGCAATCAGGCAAGGAAAAAGAAATAAAAGGGTATTCAAATCGGAAAGGTGGAAGCCAAATTGTCTCTATTTGCAGAGACGACTGATAGTATACCTAGAAGACCCCATCATCTCAGCCCAAAAACTCCTGAAACTGATAAGCAACTTCAGCAAAGTCTCAGGATATAAAATCAATGTGCAAAAATCACAAGCAATTCCTCTACACCAATAACAGACTTAAAGAAGGCCAAATCAAGAACGAACTGCCATTCACACTTGCTACAAAGAGACTAAAATACCTAGGAATACAACTCACAAGGAACGTAAGGAATCTCTTCAAGGAAAACTACAAAACACTGCTCAACGCATAAGAGAGGACATAAACAGATGGAGAAGAACATTCCATGTTCATGGTTAGGAAGAATTAATATCGTGAAAAAGGCTATACTGCCCAAAGTAATTACAGAATCAACGCTATCCCCATCAAGATACCATTGACTTTCTTCACAGAACTGGGAAAAAACCACCATGAACTTCATATGGAACCAAAAGAGAGCCCGTATAGCCAAGTCAATTCTAAGCAAAAAGAACACAGCGGGGAGGCATCACCCAACCGGATTTCAAACTATACTACAAGGCTACAGTAATAAAAACAGCATGGTACTGGTACCAAAACAGAGATATAGACCAATGGGACAAAACAGAGGCATCAGAGGCAACAAAACATATCTACAACCATACAATCTTTGATAAACCTGACAAAAACAAGCAATGGGGAAAGGATTCCCTGTTTAATAAATGGTGTTGCAAAAACTGGCTAGCCATGTGCAGAAAGCAGAAACTGGACCCCTTCCTGACACCTTACACTAAAATTAACTCCAGATGGATTAAAGACTTAAACATAAGACCTTGCACCATCAAAAACCCTAGAAGAAAATCTAGGCAAAACCATCAGGACATAGGAGTAGGCAAGGACTTCATGAACAAAACCACCAAAAGCATTGGCAACAAAAAGCCAAAATAGACAAATGGGACCTAATCAAACTCCACAGCTTCTGCCCGGCAAAAGAAACAGTCACTAGAGTGAATCGGCAACCAACAGAATGGGAAAAAATTTGCAGTTTACCCATCTGACAAAGGGCTGATATCCAGAATTTACAAAGAACTCAAACAGATTTACAGGAAAAAAAACAAACAAGCCTATTCAAAATGGGCAAGGATATGAAACAGACACTTTACAAAAGAGACATATAGGAGCCAACAAATATGAAAAATGCTCATCATTCACTGGCATCAGAGAATGCAAATCTAAACCACATTGAGATACCATCTCACGCCAGTTAGAATGGCATCATTAAAAATCTGGAGACAAGAGATGCTGGAGAGGATGTGGAGGAAAAGGAACACTTTTACACTGTTGGAGTGTAAATTAGTTCAACCATTGTGGAAGACAGTGTGGCGATTCCTCAAGGCCTTAGAAATAGAAATTCCATTTGACCCAGCAATCCCATTACTGGGTATATCCAAAGGACTATAAATCATTCTACTATAAGGACACATGCACACGAATGTTCATTGCAGCACTGTTTACAATAGCAAAGACCTGGACAACCCAAATGCCCATCGATGATAGACTGGATTGGGAAAATGTGGCACATATACACCATGGAATATTATGCAGCAATCAGAAATGATGAGTTCATGTCGTGTATGGACATGGATGAATCTGGAGAACATCATTCTCAGCAAACTGACACAAGAACAGAAAATGAAATACCGCATATTCTCACTCATAGGTGGGTGACGAACAATGAGAACACATGGACACAGGGAAGGGAGTACTGAACACTGGGGTCTATTGGGGGGA